TCACAAACATAGAGTTCTGGCAACCCAATTTCCACCCCAGAACAGGTCTTCTAGAAACATGTGGACACTGATTTCTACTGCAGATTTGGGGATGAGAAACCTGGGGTGAAGAGGCCCGCATGTGTTGTCCTGTCCATTCACTCTCTCACTCATTCACTTACCTACTCACTGTATCAATGCCTATTAATCATTGCCTCCCACCCCACACACACAGCCCCTGCTCACAGCCTCCACCCAACTACCCTTGATTGATTACAATCGATTTTTTTCATTATTTCATTAGAGAGGTTGTAACATTCCCTGAGAGGCATTTGAAAAACTTGGAGGATTTCCTTCTATTTTACTTGTGACCAAGTATTACAATATTGAGATGTGGCGCACCTGGGTGGCTTAGTTGGTTGAGCATCTGACTCCTGGTTTCAGCTCAGGTCATGATCTCACAGTTTGTGAGTTCGAGCCCCGTTTTGGGCTCTGAGCTGATAGCACAGCCATCTCTTTCTGCCCCTCTTCTGCTCCCACTCTCTGTCTCTCAAAATAAATAAATAAACTTTAAAAAATAAAATAAAATATTGACATAGACCCAAAGGGAGACTGTATACATTTTAAAAAATTTCTCCCTTATATTAGTTTGGAGGACTAGTATGTGTATGCAAATAGGCTAAATTATATATGAGTTTTATGTTAACATAGTAAAGGGGGTCTTACAAAATGTATTATATAAAAGGTGTATTGGCAGGGGACTTCCACCTACGGCTGAGGAGGGACATAGCAAATCCTCTCCCCTAAAAGCAATTACAAAGCTGGACAAAATTGATCCAAACAACCATGTAGCACTCTGGACATCATACCACAATTGGAGCAGTATTTGTGCTTGCAAACCAGAAAGTTGGGCAATAACCGTGAACATCTGTGGCATTCCTGCCCAAAGCTGCTCCCGGCCCTTCCTCCCAGCTACAAGCACAGAGGTCCCACCAGTGTGGGGCAGTTTCTCTGCTTTGGCTAAAAGGGAATCACTGGATTGGGGGCAGTAAGCGGCACCCACCCTTGGCAGCCTTGTAGGCTTCTGTGAAAATCGCCAAGGCAGAAAAGCACAAGACCCACCAGCTCCACCAGACCGAGGCTGCCGGTTGTGCTTGGGGCAAACATACTCCTGGTAAAGCTGCGTGCACACAGGGTGCAAACCGCAGAAGGCCCAAGCAACCACACACTCCTGGCTAACCCCTAGGCTGTGCGTGTGTGCAAAGATGAGAAAGAGTCCAGCAGAAAGTAAACGACAGAAAACACATGAAAATGGCCTGAGTTTTGAGTGGGTTCCTGTTATCAGCTGCTTCTAAAATGGCTCCCTGTGATCCTCACCTCCTCGGATTAGTACCCTATGTAATCCTCCCTTTGGGTGAGGCCAGCACATAGTGACCTGCTTCTAATAAACGGAACTCAGCAGAAGTGATGGGTGTCACTTCCGAGGCTAGGTTTTAAAAAAATGACTTCCGCCTTGCTCTCATTCTCTCTCTGGTTCTTCTCCCTTGCTGCCCTGATGAAGTGAGCTGCCATGTTGTGAGCTTCCCTATGGAGAGTCACATGTCACAAGAGACTGAAGGTGGCCTTCTGCCAATGGCCAGCAAAGGAAGAACTCAGGTCAATGAGCTGCAAGGAACCCAGTCCTGCCAAGAACCAGATCAGGAACTTGGAGGTAGAGCCTCCCCCAGTTAGTCCTTCAGATAGTCCACTGTAACCTGGCTCACACCTGATTTTAGCCTGAGTCAGAGGACCCAACCAAGGTACACCCAGAATCCTGACCCACAGGAGCTCTTCAATAATAAACTGTGCAAAAATAAACAATAATGCAGTACTAAGAGAGCCGACACAGCCCCCCTGTCCACACACAGATTCCTCAACAGAGGACAGATTGTTTACTGGCTGGAGGTATTCGAGCACAATCTCTCTGCAGACAGATATGCAGATATGCAGACACAGAAGCAATCAGGAAACTAGGCTTAAATATAAAAACAAAAACACAAAAAATTTAATCAGAAACTTCAGGGACTTCACACCATCAGGAAGACAGGATTCCCAGATTCCCAGACAGGGATTATCTGACTCACAGAGCCTAGCTAAGTTATTAAACAGATAAATAAATGGGGAAAAAAGCAACAATAAACTTGGCAGGAATCAGAATCCAAAGTTGCTACAATTTTTCTTAATGTCCAGTTTTCAGTAAAAAATTACAAGTTATACAAAGAAACAGGAAAGTGTGACACATACCCAGGAAAACATCTGTCAATAAACACTGTCTCTGAGTGTTTGCAGATGTTGAATTTAGCAAAGACCTCAAATAGCTACTACAAATATGGCAAAGAATTAAAACAAATCATGTTTAAAATTTTAAATGAAAGTATGACAACGATGAATCAACATAAATTCTAAATAAGGAGACAGAGATTATTTTTTAAAAGATAAGTGAAATGTAATAGAAGAATTTTGCAACAAAGGAATATTATATCAAGACACTCTTATAATTTTTAAATGACCCAACTGAAGACAGCTAAGTATATTTTTTATTTTTTATTTTATTTTTTCTAACAAAATAACAGTTACTTTAATTTTGTAGAAATGCTAATTTTATCTGTGCAATTTATACAAGTGTGTTGTTTTGTTTATTTTTTTGTTTTCAACATTTACTTATTTACTTTTTTAATATAATTTATTATCAAATTGGTTAACATACAGTGTGTAAAGTGTGCTCTTGGTTTTTGGGTTGGTTTTTGGGGGAGAGGGGAAAATGGGTGGTGGGCATTGAGGAGGGCACTTGTTGGGATGAGCACCGGGTGTTGTATGTAAGCGATGAACCATGGGAATCTACCCCAAAAGTTATTTATTTAAAAAGGAAAATTCTGGGGTTGAAAGTACAATTGAAATGAAAATATACTATAAAGACTCAACGAAAGATTATATATGGCCAAGGAAAGAATTAGCAAACTTGGAGATAGATTGATAGAAATTATCCAATCTAAGGATCAGGGGGAAAAATGATGGAAGAAAAATGAACAAAACTTTGGAGCACAGTGGTACAACATTAAGCATGTCAGCAGATGCGTGATGAGACTCCCAGACATAGAAAGAGAAAGGAACAGAAAAACATTATAGAAAAAATGGCCAAGATATTCCAGAATCTGATGAAAAACAATTAAATACATTATCCCAAAAGTTCAAGAAGCTTCAAGGAGGATAAATGCAAAGAGATCCACACCCAGACACATCATAGCAAACACTTAAAAGACAAAAACAGGGGCTCCTGGGTGGCTCAGTTGGTTGACGCGTTGGACTTCAGCTCAGGTCATGATCTCACAATTCATGAGTTTGAGCCCCACATTGAGCCTTGTGTAGGGCTCTGTGCTGACAGCTCAGATCCTGGACCCTGCTTCAGATACTGTGTTTCCCCCTCTCTCTGCCCCTCCCCTGTTCACACTCTGTCTGTTTCTCTTTCAAAAGTAAAGAAACATTAAAAAAATTTTTTTAAGACAAAAACAGAGAAAAAAATCATCAAAATAATAATAATAATAATAATAATAATAATAAAAAGACTCATATGTGCAGGGGACCAATGATGTGATTACCAGATGATTTCCCATATAAAACAGTGGAAAGCAAAAAGGCAGTGAAATGGCATATACAAAATCCCGGGGGGAAAACTGTTAACCAAGAATTCTATTATCCAGCAAATGTTTCTCCAAAAATGAAAGTAAAATAAAGACATTTCCACATACACAAAGACTAATAGAATTCATTGCTAAAATCCTGCAAATATATTTGTAAAATGAATGAAGCCAGATATGAAAAATTGTATGTAATATGATTCCATTGATATAAAACTCTAACAGACAAAACAAACCTATGAAATTAGAAGTTAGAATAGTGTTTACCCTCAGAGGGAGACCCTGACCAGCAGGAGCTGTAAGGAGGAATTCTGGGGAAATTGTTATACAGATGTCTTCATTTGTGACTCTGGCACATTTCTTTTCTTTCTTTCTTTCTTCTTTCTTTCTCTTTTAATTAGATTTTTTTAAATGTTCTTTTTTAAGTTTATTTATTTATTTTGAGAGAGAGACAGAGAGAGTAAGCTAGGGAGGGAGGGGGCAGAGAGACAGGGGAAGAGAGAGAATCCCAAGCAAGCTCCACACTGTCAGTGCAGAGCCTGATGTGGGGCTCAAACTTACAAACCGTGAGATCATGACCTGAGCTGAACTCAGAATCAGATGCTTAACCGACTGAGCCACCCGGATGCCCCTGGCACATTTCTTTATACACAGCTTCCTTCAACAGAAGTTTAGTAACACAAAAAAGGAAGCTTGATTGTGTCAGTCCCTCCCCTCTTTCTGAATCGCTTGTTTTCCTCTTCCTTGCGAGTCTGAGCAAACCTGTGACTTCTAAGGTCCTGTCTGGTCTGGCCTTAGCCCACCTCTCCAGCATCATTTCTCACTACCTGGTACTCTAGCCTTTGTGCTTCTGTTATACTTCAAGTCTGCTGTGCTTCCATCCTGCCACGGGGCCTTTGTACATGCTCATCCCTCTGGTCCAGAGCCCCATTGAGACCTATTTACCCTTTAGCTCTATGCTTGAGTCGCGACCCTCCCACGACCCATCCAAATCTAGTTCTTTCACAGCATTGTATTTCTTTCCTTCAGAGCCCTCATTTTTATTTGCGCTTATGGACTCATAGAACAATTATTTGCTGCTTTGTCTTTCCCACTGGCCCATATGTTTTAGGAGGTCTGGCTATGTCATTTTGTACTGTATCCCCAGCACCGTGCCTGGCACCTAGTAGGCATCTGATAGCTATCTGTTCAATGAACATAAAAGTAACTGAGGCTATAAAAAATCTTCATTCTAATTAGAGTACATTGTGGAAAGCCTGGATACCAAACTAAGGAATATAGATTTTTTTTTTGTAGGCTACAGGGAGCCATTGAAGTTTTGTGAGAAAGGGAGGTATGTGAACTGACCTTTAAGATCTTCATGGCAGTGGAGGAGGAGAGGCTGTGGCAGAGTCCAGATAAGGGACAGTGCCTGTGGAGAGGCAATGACCGTGTGTGGAAGCCAGTACTGCAGCCCACCCTGACCCCCAGGCCAGCCTAGCAGTGACCTCACAATCACCCCCTAGACCTCCCACCTTTGAAGGCCAATATCCCAGCTGCTGGCCTATGTTCACATCCGAAAGGCCACACCTTTCCACCTGAAAGGCCTTTCCACCACCAGGCCAGAACCCCACCGGAGACAGGGGGGTTCAACTAAGTGACAGTGCCATCTGCCCACCCCAGGCACAACCAAGACCTCAGAATGACAGAGCCATCCGAGAACTTAAAGGATTCAATGCCCACAGAGAGGAAGTCCATGTGGAGGACCTCGGAGGAGAGGCGGATGTCCGACCTCACGCGGGTGCTGGAGTGGCTGCAACGCAGGCAGGGGAAGAAAAAGCAAACTTTCCAGGTGTGTACTTGGCAGAAAGACTCTCCGGGGAGCCGGACTCAACACTATTACAATAGGGAGACATGGAACTGAGCCTCCCAGGAAACAAAAGGCGGGAGGAGCTTTAAGCACTGGGCGAACTAATAGAGAAGCACTCGGGGCAGAGGGGAGGTTGTCCAGGTGGTTAGGCCGACTGTGCCAACTGTCACCCGGGTAGTTAGCCTCCTACCCTCCCACAGAGACCCGGAGGAGGGGGTGCTATCTTTCCAGATGATTTCATTTCAAAGGGATGGCTTCCAGGTCCTTGAGAAAAATATTCCTGGATTCTGAAACTGGCAAGAGTCTGGGAGAAGAAGATTTACATCTCAAAGGGGCAGGAAAAGAATTTACAAGTGCTGGTTTTCTGAAGGAAAAGGAAAGAGAGGTCCTGGGCCCAGAGCCAGGAAGGAACCTCTCTAGTTTCATTGGGGTGAGGAGGGCGTTAAGGTTGTCTTGGTCAGTGTTCTAGAAGAGCTTAGGGACAATAGCTTCTAAGATCTCCAGGGTGGCAGAATGGGCCCTCCCCACTGTCCCCAGAAGCTTGCGTCTTTATGATGGCTCCAGGGTCAAAGGGCATTCGGTCTCCACTGTTATCCCACTGGGACTCCTGCTAACATACCTCCTCCTTTCTACCCGGTATCCCAACGAGTTCTAATCTACCCATCTTGGTCCTCTTCAGCTGCTGTGACAGAATACCATAGACTCGGCTTATAAACAACAGAAATTAATGTCTCCCAGTTTGACAGTCTGGGACGTCCAAGATCCAGGTGCCTGCAGATTCAGTGTCTGATGAGGGCCCGCTTTCTGCTTCATAGATGGCCACCTGCTCGCTGTGTCCTCACAGGAAGGAAGACATAGGAGAGCTCTCTGGGGTCTCTTTTACAAGGGCACTAATCCCACTTGTGGAGGCTGCACCCTCATGACCCAGTCACCTCCCAAAAGCCTCACCTCCTAACACCCCCATCACACCGGGAGTCAGAATTTCAACATATGAATTGGGGGAGGGGAGGGGAGACACCATTCAGCCTGTAGCACCGCTAGCACCACACTCCCTCTCTCTCCAGGAACTATGGCAACCAGTTTTGCCTCAGTTTCCCCCCAGGCCCACCATCTATGGAAAATCAAGCCATGTCCTTAGAAAGTGGTCTCCTCTGTAGAGGACACCCCCTGATCGTGGATTCTCTGGCCCCCAGAGAAAAACGGGTGGAAAATGGCATTACGTAGGATGATGCTAATGCTTATTAAGCATTTACTGTGTGCCAGGCCCTGTGCTTAGCCTTGCACATGAGTTATCTTGTCAACTGCCCCCAGCAGGGCCACACGGTGGGCACCATTCTTACCCCTCAGCGGAAGTGACGTAATAAGGAAGCTGAGTGAGGTGCAGGGAAGCAATTTGCTTGAGCTCACAGAATTAATGAAGGGTCAAGCCAGGTCTCAAACTCAGATTAATCCAGTTCTCACGCTCAGGGGCTTTGTCAGGTCAACTCCCCATAACCACCTCCACTTCTCTGCTTCAGCCTCTCTAGCGGCCCCTGACTTTCCAAAAAGTTCTCGTCCGTGTATGTGCTTGCTCCTCATTCATATGCAGAAAGATCCGGAGTTCCAGTTCCACCAGACATACTAAAACACGTCTGAGAAACATATTTTACATTAAGGTGCTAATGATCTATGGATGGTCTACCCTCTTGGCCCCCCTTTTTGACTGCTGGGCCGCTCAGAACTCAGTATCAATCACAGAGATTTATATTCACTTCTGTGGTCAACAGAAGAAGTCCCTTCTCATGAAGAGTATATTCCAGTGTTTTCACAGCTTTACCTTTTATGTGGCTTTTTACTGGAAATAATTTTGGACTCAGGGAGGGAACAAATTTAAATTGAAAATACACTGAAATCTTCAAGCATTCTTAATCTTCCCAGAGGCATGCGGATTTTGAAGAAGCTCCTGAGAAAGCGATGCTTCCGTGGCAGGTCCCAGACAGCACAGATTGAGGGTCAGGGGCGGCGGGGCTTTAGTAAAGGCGGTTGGAGGGGGGCTGTCTGTGGCCTCCTCTCCCTTCCCCTGGCACCACACAGTCATTCATTAAGTTCTCAAAATAACCCTAGGAGATAAATCCTACTACTGCCTCCATCTTCAGATGAGGAAACCAAGCTGCCGAGAGAGCAGTCGCTTGCCCCAGGTTGCTCAGCCCCCAGCAATAGAGCAGGATTCCCATGGGCGTCTGACCTGGAAGCCAGCCCCAGCCGCTGTGTCCCCACAACCACAAGCAGCACACTGCAGGTACAGACCCAGCCAATTCAGCTTTCCTTGAGGGGCTCCAGCACCCCTACTCCTTGTAGGCTGGCCTGGATGCCCCTCTGTGGGGCCCTCCCCACTGGACCCCAGAGCTCCCTGTTGTGTCCTCCCCAACGCCCCAGTGGGGGTAGGAGCCTAGGCATGCGCGCAAGGAAGTCCACAGCCACCAAGAGGAGCGCCCAGGGAAGGAGAAAGGCGGGGTGAAGTCATATGACGGAATGGGGAGGGGTTGGGACGGAAGGGAGATCTGCGGACAGAGGGCATGTTCTGGCTGGACTCCAAGACAAGAAGGCCTTCCTGTGGCTTCAGACTGGAGGCCATGGCAGGAAAGTCGCAGCTACACAGGTCATTTGGGGGCCAGGAGGAATTCCTACTAGGCTGGAGAGAGGGGCCGTTGTGTAGAGGGTAAGAGGGAGCTAGTGATGGGTTCTGAGGTGGGGGGGACAGCCAGACCTGGGAGTTAGGTCATTCTCTAGGAGCAGAGTGTCGTGGACAGCAGGGCGTGTCTAGAGGCAGAAGGACAATTGTGGGGGGATCCGGGGCGGGGGGACAGAAGTGCCAGAGTGGGAGCCAGCCAAATCTAGAAGTGGGGAGGGTGCAGCCCGCTCTCCACAGAGCCACCCCTCTGTGGGGGCAGCCACAGTGCAATCCTGTCTTTTCAAAAACAGAAACCCAACTGGGCGGTACCCCCTAAAACAACTGGGAAGGAAGAAAAGAAAGGCCGAAGCATCCCCAAAAAGCAGAAAGGGAACCACCAGGCAGCCTTCTCTGAGAAGGTAACACGGGTTCCCTGGGTTGAAAAGGGGTACGTGCTCCACCCCTGCACAGTACCTGGCTACACTTTTTTTCAGCTGAAGGCTCTAAAATCCACCCCTGCTCCACACTAACACACAAATGAATCCCCTCCCCTTTCCCCCCTCCAGACCCCACCAGCCCCATGGATGCTGGCACTCCTGTGGTAGAGGGTCATTCTTGCCAGGTGCCTTCCTCTCACTGCCGTCCCCAGACCATTCAGGAATGCCATCTGAGAGGCTGAGAGATGAGAACAGCCAGGCTTAAGTGCCCCCCCGTCCCCGACGGCTGTGGCTTCTGTGACCCCTCATGGACTCCCTCCGAGGTAGCAGGGACCAAAAGTCACGTGTGGGTGAGCAGGTGCCAACTTACCACCCCAGCCCCTTCACCTGCCTCAGGCCCAGAGCAGTCTCTCCTTTGGCCCCTTTGCCTGCCTTCCTGCGAACCCCTGAAATCACTCATTTTGAGGGTGGAGGAGGCCACGCCAAGCCCTGTTCCTCGTGGAGTGACTTGTCTCCCGCTCCCCTCCAAGACCCCCGAGCAAGGCACCAAGAAGGACAAGGACCATGTCATGTACCAAAAGCTAAAGGGAAAACGCCTCACCCTGGTTCCTGGCAGCTACTCCAGGGACAACCCCAAGAAATCTGGTAAGGGGAGCATCCTACCCTAAGACGGGAGATGGGATGCCAGAGTCGTCCCTCATAATTGCCCACCTCTCAGAGTTACAGGAAGCCCACACTGTTGTCAAAGCAGCAGGTTCCATGCCAGCCCAGCAGCCCTGGACCGTTGTGGAGCCCCACGTGGCTCTTTAGGGATCACACCACAAAAGGTGCGACCTGGACAGCAAGCGCGTGGATGTCCAGGCTCTGCCCACACCTGGGGGTTCTCTTCTCAGGGTGCCAGCAGAGTGTACCCCAGGTTCCTAAAAGCCAGTTTGATGATGGCAACCTCGTGAGCTCCAGATTATCTCACTGGTTTAGGTACCGTGACAATGTCAGTGTGACATACGAGGCACCACTCCTGCTGGCCCAAAACCCGCCAGGTGTCGCTCACACCCAGGAAGAAGTCGGCTTAGGTAATGCCAGATCCTCAGTTCCCAAGGCTGCCTGGGTTCGAACAGCTCTGTAGTGAACTTGGAGTTGTATAATCCGGGGTGAGTCTCTCCATCTGCAGGGGCCAGTTTTCACATCTAGAATGTGCAACAATAACATGACTTGCCTCACAATAGAGTTTTAGTGAGATGAGGCATATAAAGCGTGTAGCCTGATGTAGTAGGTGGTCAATAAATGGTGGCGGCAGCGACTTCTAAGGGAAAAAAAATGCTAAAATTCTCAGGTGGGCTGTACCACGGTGTTGGAAAAACAGTTGCATTTATTGTGCCTGGCTTCTTGGAGAGGAGGTGTCTGGCAAAAGAAGTGGGAGGAGTGGCCGAAAGCTTTTGAGTAGGGGCTGGCAGGCCTCCCGTCCAAAATTACTCCCATCGTGCCCAGCAAAATGCCCTCTTTTCCTTTTCATTGAATACCCAAAGCCATCGTAACCCAACTGCGCTCACTTGCCTGTCAGGTTTCAATATGATTGGCTCTAGATGCTGCGCAGAATCCTGGACTGAATTCTAGAACAACACTTTGGTGGAAAAACCGGTGAAATCCAAAGACGCTGTGATGTGCCAAGGTTAATTTGTTAATTATCTTTTGACAAATATTCCCTGCTGGTGTGAGATGTTAACATGAGGAGAAACTGAGCAAGAGTGTACAGGAACTCTGTGCGCCATCTTTGCAACTAGATTGGCATAGGCCCTAGAGTTTTCTGTGACTCCCAGAGTCAAGTCTGGCTCCCGCTGAGCCCCTGAGCATCTGCAGATCTCCATTCCAGTGGTTGTTCCCTTTTCCCTGCCCGTTGCCAGAGCAGACACAGCCCCGTGTCCTTCATTTCCCCCAAAACCTCTCACAGGAAGCCTTTGTGTGTAAACAGACTTTACTGAAGTTTAGGGCAACAAAGGAAAAGAATTTCATGGCAGAATTCTACAGAAAACAAAACAGAAGTTGATTACAAAACCCTCTTAAGGGTTCGTCCAAGTCCTTTGTCCCCAGCCACCAGGAGATGTCCCCTGGCTACCTTTCCCTACTTTTCCCAGCTGTTCCACTCACCCCAGCACTGGAGCTAAAGTGAGCCCAAGTCTGGCCCCCAGATACAAGACTTAAGGAGGCTCTCACTCTCTGGTATTGACTCTGCACTTGCGGGAGCCTGAGACTGAACACCTCCTTGAATTGCACCCTTGCCCCGGGCACTTTGCTGTCCTCACTCTACTCCTGGGCCTTCCTAGCTCCCCTCTCTTCCTCTGTTTTTCCTCTCCCTCTCCTCCATCCTCTGCTTTCCTCACCCCACAATTCCCATTGGCTTTTTACCTGGAAGGATCACTTAATTTCCTTTGTTTTACTGTCTTACTCCACACTCAAAAGGAGTCTATCAAGATAATTTCCTAAACAAAGGCAGTTTCTTCCTTAAGAGAAAATCACTACCAGCTAATAAAATAATCCGTTTCACAACACTGCACAAAAATGCAAGCGGTTTTTTGGTTCTTTGCAGTACCTCCGCCCCAGCAAGACAAAATCCACCCAGTTCAACAGGGGACATTTTTCTCCCACCTGATGCAATACAACAAGTGGCCACTGGGGGGCAGCAGGTGCTCAGTTGCAGCAGGTGCTCAGAGGCACCCAGGAACCACCTTGGCATCCAGATGTGGCACCCAGGCACTGAATCAGGACTGAGCCTGAGCACAGCAAGGGGAGCTTCCAGAGAAGGCTAGCAAGAGGCCTGAAATGAATGGGCAGGATCTGCTTTTGGAGTCAAGTTCAAGACAAAGCAGCCCCTAGGAAAGACGTGGAGCCAGTTATGGGCTATGGCAGGAGTCCAAGTGGAGAAAAATATGGATGAAGTAAGGACCAGAACTCCTGGTCCTGGCCTCCCCTGGCCCCACGCAGCACCTGGATCATTGGTGTCCTTGTCAAGAGCCAGATCCCCCGGGTGTCCCGGGTTCCCTATCTGCAGAGTGAGGCCTTTGTACTCTCGTTGCCATGTTTCTGTGTGATCTGCTGAGCAAGAGTCTGTGGGGAATGGCCATCAGATGATCCCCACCACCTCCAGAACTAGAATGTGACCACTCTATCTGTACAGATACAACAACTCCCACTCATTCACGTTTTTAGTGTATGGTGGCCACAAAATCAAAATCTGTGACACACAGTGTGTTCTTTATTTTTTTTTTTTTTACGTTTATTTTTGAGACAGAGAGAGACAGAGCATGAATGGGGGAGGGGCAGAGAGAGAGGGAGACACAATGCAAAGCAGGCTCCAGGCTCTGAGCTGTCAGCACAGAGCCCGATGCGGGGCTTGAACTCACGGACTGCGAGATCATGACCTGAGCCGAAGTCTGACGCCCAACTGACTGAGCCACCCAGGCTCCCCAACACACCATGTGTTCTGAATGAGTGACACAGGCCTGCCTCCAGCTCCAGAACCCCACAGCCGATAGAAAACATCAGTGATGACCCCCACGGGGAGCACTGTGCTTTTCAACACAGACCACTTCATCTTTGTCCGCCTCAATTTCACAAAAGCTCCCATTCACTCCTCCTAACAGCTGAAATGCCACCTCCATCCTGCCAATGACCACCACGCTGTCGCACCCAGGAGGCACTGGCCTGCTGCCACGCTGCTGCTGTGGGCCACGGGCCACTCCCTTCTCCCCACACTTGAACTCCCTGAAAACACTCTCTTCTGTTTCCCCTTTCTCACCAACCCCTTGGCCCGCGTGGAGGGCCGCTAAGTTGGTTTTGAATTTGTAAAAGGTCATTCTGGCTATGGTCCCATAAAAGACCCTGGGAAAGAAATTGGAGCCCATTTCCAAAGTAAATCTTGGCAAAGTCTGAGCCGGCTAACCTAGAAAAGGGGAATTCACTAGGTTTTCTCTCCCTGGGGCCCAGGGCATTCCGTAGATGCCAGAGCAGGAGGGCATCCCTCATGCCGAGGGCTGGAGGGCAATGATACCCTCTGTCTCCATGAGCGCAGAGTCAGCCCCTGGAGCCCCAACTACAGCCCAGTAGAAATCTAACTTATCTGTTCAGCCACAGACTCAGGAATGTGGGTCATTTATGCCCAGGTGGTAGCCAGGTCAGATGCCCAGAAAAAGGGACCAACAACCTGGGTTCACATTTTCCTAGATCCATCACTAATTCGCTATGGCGTCTTGGGCACGTGACTTAATCTCTCTGATCCTCAACTTTCTCATTTGTTAAATGGACACAATATGGCAGTGCAACTGTAGTGCCCCCCCCCCCCAGAAAGCTCCTTGAACACTGCCTGGCACAGAAGTCACTCAATAAATGCTAGTTCAGATGTTTAATTATCATTACCATTTATATTACTACTCTTCTTTCCTACATGAGACTTACCTTGACCTAGATGATACTCAGATATCTCAGAAAAAGCTATGCTTCTTTCTCCAAGAGATTTCCCATTTGCGTTGGTGAGGATAAGCAGCTCATGATTCTTCTGGAACATAGTACCAATTTGCACTATGCATGAACAGGGCTGCTAAGGCCACCTGGCCAGGGACCGGCTGTCAGTGCAGAGCACCATACTGGGCATACAGACTCCCAGTTCAGCCACTAACTCACACGAGACCTTGGATGAATCACAGTGTGCCTCTTTCCAGGCTGCTGTCCCTGAATTTATGTAACTGTTGGAGGTCTAGACTCATTCCCCCTAGACATAGCCCGGTAAAATTCCCAAACTTTCTTGATGAAATCTTGCAAGCTTACAAGGAGAACAATCTACTTACAAAGGAAAAAAGAAAATGCCCTAAGTGAGAGCAAAGACCCCAAACTAGCAAATAACTGGTTTACAGATCAGAATCTAGATACACTTAAAATTGGGTTTAATATGGAAAGACAACAATAGAATAGGCCAAGAGATAACAAGAAAGACAAACAAATGAGGTGGAATTAAGGCTAAAAAGAAACATGTCAGGTAAAAGAGGGATATTTTTAAATGTTAAAGAGAATAAGTAATAAACCTAAGCCTACACACACCAAAATATATAGTAGCTGAATACATAGTTATTGAGAACCACAAGGAGAATCTAACAAAAATACAAGTATAGTGGGAGATTCTAATATGCCTCTTTGATTTCTTTATATGCCTCTTTTTGAATCAAACAGATCAAACAGACTTAACTTTATATTTGAACAGAGAATGCGTTTTTATGTGGCTAAAAAATATCTGCAAAACTCATCTGCATTTTCACCTCAAAGAAAACGTTAACATTCACAAAGTAAAGATCCTAGGGCCATGGCATTATCCTAAAGCAATAATTAGAAATAACATTTAAATTAAAAGATACTCCCAACTCAGCAGTCATAAATGAACAAATACACTCCTAAAATACCCTGTATCGGGGTGGGGGGAGAAAAACTCATGAAAATAAGCCCGTTTCTTACGAAAACCTATGGGAACAAAGGCGGAATCTAGCCTCAGAAGAAAATTTATTGTAAAAACTAAAACTAATAATTCTTACCTTTATAACACAAAAAAAGTAAGAAAAAAACTAATACTTGTAGCAATCCATTATTTGCAAGAAGATAGAAGAAATAATTTATGGGAAAAAGAGAGCTTTAATACATTAAATAAATACCAGCTGAGATTAATGAAACCCAAGCTAAAAAATAGTTAAAAGCCAATAGTTAAAATCCAAAGCTAGTTTAAAAAAAAAATTTATAATGTTTATTCATTTTGAGGGGGTGGCAAAGGAAGGGCAGAGAGAGTGGGAGACACAGAATCTGAAGCAGGCTCCAAGTTCCGCACTGTCAGCACAGAGCCCGATGCGGGGCTTGAACCCAGGATCCTTGAGATCATGGCCCAAGCTGACGTCGGATGCTTAACTGACTGAGCCACCCAGGCGCCCCCCCCCCCAAGCTGATTTTTTGAAAAAGCAAATGACGAGTAGTATGAACTTTTTGTGACCATCGTTAAAAAGAGTAGGGGTGCCTGGGTGGCTCAGTCAGGTAAGCGTCCGACTACTCTTGGTTTATGTTCAGGTCATGATCTTGCAATTGGTAAGATCGAGCTCCCCATCAGGCTTTGCACTGAGCACGGAGTCTGCTTGGGACTCTCTCTCTCTCCCTCGCTCTGGCCCTTCCCTGCTTGTATGCACACACTCTCTCTCTCTTCAAATAAATAAACTTCAAAAAAAAGAGCAAAAATGTCGAAGATTTTGTATGGAGAGAATGTATAAGCAAAGATGAGAAATACATGAACTGAGCTGTAATAGAACACTATATACACCTCTCTCTGATACATTTGAAAACCTAGAAGAAATAGATCATTTCCTCTCGTACTTTAAATTATTAAAATTGATATCATAGGCGCCTGGGTGGCTCAGTCAGCTGAGTGTCTGACTTTGGCTCAGGTCATGATCTCATGGTCTGTGAGTTCGAGCCCCGCGTCGGGCTCTGTGCTGACAGCTGAGAGCCTGGAGCCTGCTTTGGATTCTGTGTCTCCATTTCTCTCTGCCCCTCCCCAACTCATGTTCTTTCTCTCTCCCTCTCTCTAAAAAATAAATAATAAGCATTAAAAATTTTTTTAATTGATATAATAAAGAAACATTGAGGAGAGCAATTTCTGAAGTAAAAATTGAAAGGTGGTTGACACTTTCCCACTGAAAAAGTCACCAGGACAAAAGGCTTCACATTTGGTTCTATCTAACCTTTTCAAGAACAAATGATCTCGATATCACTTCAACTGTTCTGGACCATATAACATACAGATATTCCTGCATTAATCCCACAAGTCACCATAACCACAATATTAAAATATTTGCAAAGAAGTAATATAGATGCAAAAAATTTAAAAATTTTAGCAAATATGCCAACTGTATGAAAATAGATCAACTATTTCAATGTGTGAAATTAATAACACACCATGACCAAGTGGGATTTCTTGTAATGGTTAGGAAAGGTTAGATTATCAATATCAGAATATCTAAGAACATAATTTATTCCATTAGTGAAATAAAGGAAAAGCCATATGGGCATGTCAGTAAGTGACAGAAAAGCAGTAGGTAGAGTCAAGCAATGATTACTAATAAAAACTCTATGTAACCTAAGAGTTATTAAGCTGATAAATATTATAAAGCATATCAAAACTAGTGGCAAGTATCATTCTAAATGACAAAGTGCTAATTATTTTAATTAAAAGCAGGAACAAAATGAGGCATGACTGCTCTCATCATTATTGACATTGTGTTAGAACATCTGTCAAATGCAATATGTCAAGAACAGTATATACATTTTCTAAATGTTACAAGGAAGCTGTTTTCATTGTTCCCCTGGTATGATTACGTGTCTCCAAAACTCAAGAAATTCTAGTAAAGAAAGAATAGAATGTAGTTTTGTTGTTACTCGACTAGAAAAAATACATTGTGAAGCAATAGTCTTTTCTCTATACTAGTCATACCAGTCAGAAATGGAAATGGGGAGAATATATTCCTTTCTCATTAGTAAAAAAAAAAAAAAAAAAAAAAAAAGCTACAAAATACCGAGTGGCAAATGTAGCAAGAAGAAAAAAAAAATTAAATTCTCCAAACACTCGCCCCCACAGTATTTAAATTCAGTCCAAACCACATATTTGGGTAACATCTGACATTCACCATTTAATTTCATACATTTGTGTCTTTGTGCATGCTGTTCCTCCTTCCCATTTCCATTTCATACCTGCACATGCTGTTCCTCCTGCCACACATGTTGTTCCTCCTGCTCGCACATGCTGTTCCTCCTGATGCACATGCTGTTCCTTCTGCCACACATGTTGTTCCTCCTGCTGCACATGCTATTCCTCCTGCCACACATGTTCCTCCTGCTGCACATGCTGTTCCTCCTGCCTGCAATACTTTTCTCCCCTTTTCATCTAATAATCTGTTTTTCCTTTAAAAACCATGTCAGAGTTGATTTCAGATAGCTTCCCCTACCTCCTGTAGGCTAAGGTTCCCTGTAGGTGAGGAGGGAAAGAAGAGAAGGTCTAGAGGGGGACTAAAGACAAGAGGGAAGGGGAGGGAGCTGGGGGAGGCAGGGAGAAAGGAGGGAGGAAAAGACAAGTGAGAATTCAGCCAATGCCAAGAAGAGACTGCAAACCTTGAAGTGACCTCGTATCTCACAACAGGCAATCGTTTGAAGCCCGTGCAGGCTCGCCAGCCTCACCCCTTCCTGTCCGCCCTGCCTCTCACCTCTACCAGGCTCTAACTCCCTGCTGTGCCATCTGTCCAATTTCAGAACTAGACATCAAGGATGCCATCGTCCTGGAGTCCACTCAACGGTCCGTGCCATACCATCGACAAAGCATCATCGACCCCATGCTCCAGGACCCTCTCTTTAGCACTCGGAGGTCGACGCTCTTGAGAGACTGGGTGGTAGGCAGGATGCCCGAGGTCTCCTACGAGCGCAAGCTGAAGAGCCTCATGGAGAAGGGCGCCGAGCCCAAGGTGGAGACGGTGAGAATGCTGAAGCCAGAGGAGGTGCTGAGCTGCCGGTGAGTCTCCACAGTCTGGTTCAGACACCTGGGCTAAGCCCGGGGGAGGGGAGGGCGGCGGTGGCAGGACGGGGCTCCGTCTTTGTGACCTGAAGGGCTGACCCAGGGCCGAAGCCGCTGGGTTTCCAGCAGCCCCAGCTGCTGGGGTACCAGCTCTTGGATGAGGCGCAACATTTAGGTGCTGCCATTTTGATGCCACGCCTCTGGACACCTTCACCACCCCTGCAGTATTTCTGTACGTTTCACAGTACAAACCGTGAATATTATCCACAATGAAAGAATCAGTTAGTTGTCTGTGGCCTGGTTTTAACAGGAAATCCCTCTGAGGGCCTTCACACGGCAGTGTCAAGTTGCTGGTGATAGGAGCCACCCTCCCTCCTCAGTTGGCTACCTACTGTATGTTTGGGGTTTTAGACTCCAGAAGGTACTATGAATAGAGTGTGAGCCATTTGCTGTTTACCATTCTCACTAAAGGTCTTCTTTCTCACTTGTTCTTTGTCGCATTTATCAGGACCTGCTGGTTTCCGCCCCCAGATTCAAGCGCCCCTCCCAAGCCCTTTCCTGTAAAGATGTAACTGATAAGATTCAGAAACTTCAGTAGGGGAAACGGACAACAGAATAATGTGGATGTCCTGTAGACTGAACAGCAGTGAACTCATCTGTAGAGTTAAGATTGGCCTCAGATGCCTGGCACGCAGTGACCCCATTCCAAAGTCCTGCTCTGCTCACTGACTGGCTGAGAGATGGATGGGTAGAATGGCAGCCTCCCCCACTGAAGGGGGCTTCTAGCTTGACCTCTCCACGGATGGGTGACTTTGGCTATGGCTTTCAGTCTGACAGGGTGATTCTAGTGGACTCTGGCCAACAGACAGCCTACCTGGGCTCAATAGTGGGCAGAAAAGAGATTTGGACAGGGCCCCTACCCTCCAAGGAGGGAGAGAGAATATTTGGAGAGATGGCATCCAACAAGCCATCCAAGAAAAAGATGAAATTGTCCATAACGGGATAGTGAGTGCTCACACGTGCATTTGTGTGAGGCCTTCCAGCTGTGCTGGTCACAGACGGAAGGGGCAGACCCTGACTGGTGCTGTCATGGAAAAGTAGTCCTGACATGGGGCTGGAGAGTGGGACCTGAGATGGCTATAAGACCAGGTAAGCTCTGGGCAGATCTTGAAGGAGAGGGAGAACCATTCCCAATGGTTATATCAATATCCAGCTCTTCCCCCATCAACTGTAACAAAGAAACCAGCAGGTGGCCTGAGTAGGGGGACTACCTCCTTTACTAAAGCTGGGAACAAGGTCAAGATTGCTGGTAGAATACAGAGCTCTCAGGATATGATGATAGAGATACTCTCTAGACCACACAGCATAGATGGGACCGATTCCACTCTCCAGTGTAAGTTAGAATTGTGGAGCTTTAGCTAAGATTTTAAATCAATGGCCAGACTTTTAAATTGTTTGAATGATATTATAAGAAAATACTCCCCTTTCCCACAATTTACTCAGCTTTTATTGCCACCGTTCTGTATTTGGCCCAGGCTTTGGCATCACTGAGGTTATGCACACCTGGCAGTGATGGAACCCCTGACAATTGGATCTCTCCCCACGTGGCATAATGTATCGTGACCACCATATTGCACCTGCTTTCCTAATGGCATGTTAGCTTTGGCAGAAGAGTCCTTGAAATGGATATTCTGTTATTTGCTTAACCATTCCTCTGCTGATGGAATTTCTTCTTTTCCTGTTGTTGCTAACCCCAGAGTGAACACTTTGATTTATATAGCTTTTTATCCCCTTGGCTTCTCTTCTTCGGATTCGTTGAAGGCCTGAGTGGAGTTCCTGAGTCAAAGACCATGAACTGTTGGCAGGGAGGGACTTGGGGGGACAGGGGCGGAGCTTGGCATCTATGTTGCCAAATTACTTTCCAAGAATTATACGAATAAAAACTCCCATCAGTGTCTACTCTCTCATAAGACCTCTATCAGCTCCAGAATGTCCACAGAGCCCATTCCCTTTAGAGATCCCACGCTGCCTAAGTCTAAGCTCTTGTCAATAAAGTTTGAAGCTAGAGTGACTCCACCCTCAACTGACCTCTTTGGCCCTTATCTTGCACAGATACCTGAGGTTGTCCAAGAACAACATTCGAACCTTGCTCAAGCTGTGCAAGGATGCGGGCATGAACGTGGACATCCACCCCCACATGGTCGAAGGGGAGATAGACGCTAAAAAGGTGTTCGCGCAAATCCCCAGCGTGGCCCTTTAGGCAGCTCCTCCCCCAGGCCACTGCAAGCTCCCTCTGCTGTTGGATCCCTGCCCCCCCCCCCCAGGTGACATCTTCTGGTACCCCATGCCATCAGACCTGGTGCATCTCTTTTAGACAGTAGTGACCAGAAAACAAGGCCAGACTGCATGAATCATTGTACTGATGTAGCGTTTGTCCTTGACCCAAATCAAAACTGATTTGGGAGAGACTGTGGATTTTCTCCCCACCAAAAGAAGACTCTTTAGAAAGGGCTTCTTAGAAAAGGAGTCTTGGAAAAAGTGAGAACTGGAGACCCAGAGTCCCCAGAGGGACATCAGGAGGGACAAAGGGCTGAGGGGCTGGTTGGGGACACACACACATCACAGGTCTTGTACACCACCCCCCAACCCCTGCCCTTGTGGAACTTCATTCTGTGGGGAGCTGAATGCTACATCTTCAAGGGACTGCTTGGTGCTCCCAGACCCTCAAGACAGGGGCTACCCTGGGACCCTCACCTCTCAGACCCCAGGTGCTCCAACAGAGGTTGCAAGCTTCCCCTGGGGTTCAGCAGGGACTGGAAAAGAGAGGGGTAAATGAATGCAGAGGAGAGACCTCGCCCCACCCCACAGCTGCTACGGCCACCTGGGTGCTCTTCTGGGGTCCACAGGGCTTTTCTCTGGGAGCTCCACAGGCACAGGGAGTCTCCAGTTCAGCTTCTTGACATTCTAACCAAATGAGCTACAGTGAGCCCCAAGATTCACAGACAACATTGAGAAAAGAACATTTATCAGCAACCCCAAGCCAGGGTCCGTTGGCAGAGAGTGCCATCTGTAGCACAGTGTATTTTATAAACTGAAGTGGCCTCGCCATTACCCTTTCTAACAGTTATCACCAGATACAGAAACACACACACACCAGCAACAGAGTCACACAGGTACAGCCCCCTGGTTTATGGCAAAGGTGACACTGTGGTGCAGTGGCGAAAAGACAATCTTTTCAATAAATTAGGCTGGTCAATTAAATGTCCATATGGAAAAAAATATCAACCCTCCGCCTCTCACCAAATGCAAAAATAGGTTCCAGATGGATGCAGATTGTGAAAGCTTTTAGAAGAAACATAGAAGACAATCTCCATGACCTTGGCAAAAATAAATAAATAAATAAATAAATAAATAAATAAAAATTAAACACAAAAAGCCTCAGTAAGAAAATAAAATATTAATAAATTATATCATATTGAAAGTAGAACTTCCACTCATCAAAAGACATCAGTGAGAGAGTGAGAAGGCAGGTGACCCATGTGGGAAAATACAGATCTGACCGTATTTTAACTCTGATAAGTCAATGTGAAGAAGGCAGGCAACTCGATCAAAAAATGGGCAAAAGTCTTATGTAGGCACCTTGCAAAAGTGTTAGCTGAGTGACCGATAAACATAAGAAATTGTATTAGTTTTCAGAAATGCAAATGAAAAATACAAGGCAATACCACTACCACCACCAGAATGGATGATCCCAATTATAGTGGAAAGTGTAGAGCAAAGAGAACGCCATTGGGATGGGTACAATCGCTTTGGAAAACTGGCAACATCTACAAAATTTGTTTACACACTGATGCTGTGGTCCAGTATTCATTCCTAGATACGCACTTCACAGGATTGTACAGCTATGCGCACCAAAAGACTGTCCTAGAACGTTCACAGTGGCTTTATTCAATGCAGACAAATACTGGATTCAACCCAAACGTCCATCAGCAGAAAGATTAACTAGCAGTGTATTCATACAATGGAGTACTGCATAGAAACGAGAATGAGCAAATACGGAGGAACGAAGCAGGCAATATCACGCAAAAGTAGCAAGACACAGAAAGGAGGACAGCTGTGTGATTCCCCGTATACAACAGCACCCCCACCCCCACCCCACGCCAGGCAAGACGAAGCGGCGGCCCCTGGAGGAGGGTGGGTAGTGCCTGGAGCGGCATCTGCCGTGCTGGTCACACAGGGGTTCACTTGTGGCATTCATTCACTGTACACTTAGGAGTGCTGCCTTTTAGGCAGGTATATGTACTTTTAAAGTACATTTTCAAAAGTATACGAACAAGAGTTCTGGTTTTGTTTGCTAAAAGCAACAGCCTCAAAAGCGAAGCAATTTGGGTCCCCTCCACCTGAGAGGCTAAGGTGACCAGGGGATAGAGGCTTCCAGTCCTGGGGATGTAGTGTACATCTTGGTGACCTTGGTTAATAATGGAGTGCTGTATATTTGGGGGTTGCTGTATGTTTGGATCTTGAAAATTCTCACAAGAAAAACACCAGAAACTAATATGTGGTATGTTAATCATGTCTGGATACAAAAATAACATTAGAAAAATCACTTTTAAAAAACAACAGGAGGGGCGCCTGGGTGGCGCAGTCGGTTAAGCGTCCGACTTCAGCCAGGTCACGATCTCGCGGTCCGTGAGTTCGAGCCCCGCGTAGGGCTCTGGGCTGATGGCTCGGAGCCTGGAGCCTGTTTCCGATTCTGTGTCTCCCTCTCTCTCTGCCCCCGCCCCCGTTCATGCTCTGTCTCTCTCTGTCCCAAAAATAAATAAAAAATGTTGAAAAAAAAATAAAAACAAAAAAACCAAAAAAAACAGGAGCCTCAAAACTGAGGTGGTTCAGAGTCCCCCGCGTCCCCCTCGCCCTCCCCCTCCCATCCACAGCGGTAGTTCCCTCTCAGCGCCACCAGGTGGAGCTCCACCACAGCAGAAGACCTGCACCCACAGAGTGGGGCGTCTGCGGGCAGAGCCGTCAAGCCCGGGTGAGGGGCAGCAGAACCCCAGGTGACTGCAGCTTGAGCTCAGAGAAGGTGGGCAAAGCCCAGCCATGCATACACCAGCTGAGGACCCCTGGGCACGTCACTTCTCTGAAGCGTCCATTCTTCCCCCAAAATGGGGACAAGAAACGCAATTTAAAACAACAATGAGGTATCACTTTATACCTAATTAGACTGGAAAATATTAGTAAGCTGGGGAATGCCAGTGTTGGCCCAGATACGGAAATAAAGGAGCTTCAAGCCTCGCCGGTAGATACTGCAGGCTGTTGTGGCTTTCTTGGTGAAGTCACGCAGACATCAGAGACTGGCAATTCCACTCCTGGGTATATACTCCAAAGAAGTTCCATCACAGGAGATATGTTGGAAGGTGTCCCCCCCACACACACACCATGTTGACAGGTGGTTGGGTGCTGGAGGCCATCCCATGTGTGGGAAGGTGGACGGCAAAATGTGGTGGATGGAAACGATGGGAAACGGGATGAAATGTTACACACTAACCTTCATACAAAATAAAAATACATGCATGTAAATAATACATTGCTTGTAAGAACATGTGTAAATGTATTAGGACAGCTGAAAACTGTCCTTTCAGGACAGGAAGGAGAGGAAGGAGGGAAAGAGAGAAGGAGGGAGGGAGGAAAGGAGGGAGGGAGGGAGGGAGGGAGGGAGAGAGGAAGGAAGGAAAGGAAGGAAAAGAAAATGTGGACAAGAATACCAAGTTTCTAGAGTGGTTGTGAAAGAAGAATCTAAGGGAAGTTTCTATAGCATCTCTAGCATTTTCTGAGCACCCAATTATTTTCTACTTGTGCCTTTATACGTTAATATTTCTTCAATGCCTATTGTGTGTTAGACAATGTACTAGGCTCTGTAATACAACAATAAAACAGACCAAAAAGAAAAATTCCTGCCACTGAGAGCTCTGAGCCTTATTCCACAAACCTGGGTATAGAGAAATGGCACACCTTCCTAAATCAAATTACTGCCAGTCCGATTTTGTGCCCCCACCATGCTGCACTGGTGAGGAATCCAATTTCAGTCATGGGTGGGGCTCCCTCTGTCAGAGCCCCAGGCTCTGGGATATAGGAGCAGTATGACCAGGGTGTGTAGGATTCCCAGTCCCTCGTGTCAGTCTACACCGGTCACTGCTGAATCACTGTGGATCACAGCCCACAAGAGCCCAAAGTTCTGGTTCCATTTGGTGAGGCACCAAGCTGGCTCAAGGATTTCTGCAGGGAGGACCCAAGGCTGTGATCCTGCCTTCTGAGAAGGGCCACGTAGCCATGGCTCCCAGGACGGACTGTCATCTCCAGGACGCTGCCAGCATCGGAGATACATCTCCATCACAGCTGTGCTGGCTCCGTTTTCCATGGATTATGCTTCCTCTCCCCCCAGGACCTAGGCTACCAGACCAAGGCAGCTGGGTTGTCCACAGACACCTTCTGCCCCTGGCCTGGCAACAGAAATGTCCTGAGGGTGGTGAGAGAGCTGCTTGCTCTGCGAAGGGAGGGGAGGGAGGGAGAAATTCGGAGAACCAAGCATAAAGAATTCTCAAGCTTTTAAATTCTTCTCCCAGAGTGCAAACAAAACACAAATTTAAATCACAATAAAGAGCCCCGACATCGGTCCTATTTCTGGGTTCTTATGTATTCAACACAGTGGTTGAGTGCTTACTGAATGCTGTGTGTTCTAGGCACTTGGGGGGCCTTCAGTGACTGGTGTGATGGTTGATAGTACAGTGTGGATGGCGATAGGGAAGAGGCTGTCCCAATTCAGTTTATTTGGTTGCCAGAAATAGTCAATAGGCAAAAAAAGAAAATGCATGCCTGTGTGTGTACATGTGTATATAATACCTGTATGTATGTATATGTATATACACATATGTATGTATTTGTTCTCACATGCATGCATATTGTGTGTATACATGCATGTGTACAATGTGTGTGTGCACCTGTATAGAATGCATGCACGTGTGCATATGTTTCTGTGTGTGTACATATGTGTGTATGTATATGTGTGTAAATGCATGGTGTGTGTGTGTGTGTGTGTAATATCAAGTAGCTTCCAGAATTAGCCTAACCACTTCCTGGACCGTATCTGTTGGAGACACAAATTACAGGGAGAGGGTCTGATTGCCGCCTCCGGGTCAGGGCCCCATCCCTTGGCCCAGGGAGGACAGAGTGCCATGAGAGGCAGTTCCACCAAAGCCACACAAGGAGAAGCAGGGTAGTCCCCCAAAGGAAACTGAGGTACCTGTTGGTTACCCACCGCCAGGTAAGAATTCTCCCCCAATAACAAGAAACCCTGACCATCTCCCACCGTGTCTGTCGGCTGGGGGTGGAGGGGCAGCTTGGCAGGAGGTTCTGGCTTGGGAGGGCGCATGAGGTGACAGTCACGCTGCCCGTCATCTGCAGGCATGGCCAGGCCCAGAGGACACACTGGTTCATCACAGGGGTGGCTAGTTGGCTCTGGCTGTCTGGCTTTGGGGAGGCGGCCTCAGTGCCCCACAGACATGGGCCTGTCCTGATGACATGGCTGCTTCCCCTGAGCAGGCCATCCCAAATACAGCAAGGCGACGCTTCAGGGCCCTCCACGCTCCTGTCTCGAAAGTCCGAGACAAGGTCCCGCCGGTTACACAGCTCAGCCTCATTCAGCGTGACAGGGAATAATGGCACAAAGATCAGGAGTTGACTGTCACTGGGAGCCGTTGTGGGGACTGGCCACCACCTGCGCTGGTGGAAAGTGGGTAGGAACCCAAGATGTAGCGAGTAACCTTGGCTGAAAGAGTCAGGGGAGGCCCCTCCGAGGAGGTGACATTTGAGTCAGACCTGGAGGGGAAGTAGAAGTTCACCAACAGAGATGGGAGGAAGAGCACTCGGGGCGGCTCAGGGGTCAGTTCCGCTGCAAAGACTGGAAGCCTGGACAGAGAAGGCCTCTGAAGCACCTGAGCACTGCCTGCCTGTGCGGGGCCTGCTCCCAGGCCTGCCCTTGCTTCCTGCCCCTGGACTCCAGTGTCTGGCTGCTAAGGGGGAATGGGCTCGCTGTCTCTGCGGGAAGCACCCACTCCCCCAGCTCACTGGCCTCCTGGGAGGGTGAGGCTTGAAGCCTGTCCTTCTAGGAGAAAGGCTGGACTCCTGAAAGACCCTGCCCTGCACCCCCACTGAGGGCCAGGAGGCAGGGTGGAGGGGTGGTGAGCAGGGGCTATCGCTATGGCTTTCCATGTCACTGCGCCCAGGCCAACTTCACCACGCCCTGCCCCTTTCTGGGGTTGGGGACAGCCGGTCAGAGACTGACAGATCCATTTGATCATCCCTGAGGCCCCCACACCCCAGACACATACAAATTCCCACCGGCTCTGGGACAGCAGGCTAGGAGCTTCAGCAGGGCCAGGGGAGCCGCATTGCCTAAGGCATCCGCATCCCCTAGGATGCATTAGGCAGGCTTCACTGACCAGAGCAGGACAAGTCTGCAGAGAAACAGGCTCATGGGGGCTCAGATCCCCAGAGGGGTGGGGGCCGTCTGACTCCAGCTGTAGAAGCAACAAGGAGTGCACACACAGTGCCCTCCTCCCTCCTCTCCCGTGGTGGAAGACGGTGAAGGAGGCGGGGAATAAGACACGGGCAGCAAAGCCACTGCCGCATCCTAAGAAGTCAAGGCCAGAGACAAGTCCACACCTCCAGCCACAGAACCCAGTGCCACGGAGCCAATGTCCCTGCCCCACGGGCTCCGGGGAGCTACAGAGTCTGTTGCCCAGGACCCAGCTGGGAGGGAGAGTCCTGCAGCTCTGCCCACCATGAGGCCACCAGCTCCAAAGTAAACCACACCTCTCAAGTCCAAAATAAAACTCCCGGTGGCCACCAAGCTCAGAGGTATGGGCTTTGTCCCAGACCTGCTGGGACCTCTGACGTAGGAAGGGAAACGCCCCACTTAAACAGCTCTGGGCACTGGTGTGAAAAACAGGAGGGGCTTGCCCAGCACACCCAGGTGGAAAAGTGCAGAGCCTGGACTCAACCCAGGTATGTCAACAAGGAGACCTAGGTTCTCTCTTTAACTCATTGACTAAAGCGTTAAGTCCATTTGCAGCAAATATTTACTGAGCTCTTCCTGTGTGACCAAGACTGCTCAGCCCCAGAGATTCTGTGATGAGCAAAAACAGACATGATCCCACTGCATGGAACTTACAGATTAGTTGGGGAAACAGCTCTGGAAGAAGTCTTTAAAAACACAGAATTACTAAGTATGTCAAGCACCATCAAGAAAAGAATGGATTTAGTCATAGAAAA